GAGGGAGTGATAGCAATTTACAAATCATGTCCTGATTTTTCCTTCCACACTCTAGCTTTGTCATGTCCCTCTCTAAATGCTCCACTCATTCCTATGGGAAAATTTCACCACAGAAACTGTGATATTTTGTGAACCATTTGGTGAAACGTTCCACAAAGTAATAGCACACCAATCGGGAACAATCCGCACGGTTTGATATATTACTGTCTATGTAGTGTAAAAACTGTGGGAGGGAGAGTTAGGGTGGTAAATTTGGCTATAATAATAAGAAGTAGAAAATCTACAATTTCTGGGGAAATTGTGTGAAGTATTCTTGCCTGCAGCAGTAGTCTACAACTGGAGTGGGCGGAGTAGCTTTGGTCACTCTGCTGGCTGCTGACACAGCTGGGTTCCTATGGCAACTCACTCTAGTGCAAGCTGAGAGGAACTTTTATAAACAAACTGCTCCAACTTGCTCAGTTCACTGGCGGTTGCTATCTTAAAATGGTTGTAGTTTTAAAAGTATAAATCCTACAGCGAAGAGCTTTATATTGTGAGAATCACAAGACCCAGACCTAGATTTTGATGAATAGTATGTCTCTGAAATATTAAAAATGAAGGCACAGTCGCAGTTTAGAAATGTTTCTTTCAAACTTCAGGTGTTTAGAGTGGAGTTTCAATTAATGTCAATGGGCGGCAAGAGTTGCAAACAAATGGTCATATTGTGAAAACTATCAGGACTATGGCTTAGCCGTGGACATTTTTAGTGGCAGCAGGGATAGCTGAACATTTTGATATAAGATATGTGTAGGTGGGCTTGAAAATGAGGGAGTGATGGCAGTTTAGAAATCATGTCCTGATTTTTCCTTCCACACTCTAGTTTTGTCAGCTCCCACTGAAGTTGCTCCATTCATTCCTATGGGAAAATTTCACCACAAAAACAGAGATATTTTGTGAACCATTCGGCGAAACATTCCACAAAGTAATAGCAATCCAATCGAGAACAATCCGCACGTTTTGATATATTACTTGTCTTTGTAGTGTAAAAACTGTGGGAGGAGTTAGCGTGGTAAATTTAGCTATAAGAATAAGAATATATTTGTGAGATAACAATAAGTGTTCTTGCAAGAACACTTAATTAGTCTTCCCCAATACTACTGGGATGGTCAACTGTAAAGTATCCTTTCCATAGTAGCCATATTCCATGATAGCCACAGGCAGTTCTCTATTCCTCTTATCCATCACAGCAGCTATGCATCAGCAGCCATATACAGTCAGGTCCATAAATATTGGGACATCGACACAATTCTAATATTTTTGGCTCTATACACCACCACAATGGATTTGAAATGAAACAAACAAGATGTGCTTTAACTTCAGACTGTCAGCTTTAATTTGAGGGTATTTACATCCAAATCAGGTGGACAGTGTAGGAATTACAACAGTTTGCATATTTGCCTCCCACTTGTTAAGGGACCAAAAGTAATGGGACAGAATAATAATCATAAATCAAACTTACACTTTTTAATACTTGGTTGCAAATCCTTTGCAGTCAATTACAGCCTGAAGTCTGGAACGCATAGACATCACCAGACGCTGGGTTTCATCCCTGGTGATGCTCTGCCAGGCCTCTACTGCAACTGTCTTCAGTTCCTGCTTGTTCTTGGGGCATTTTCCCTTCAGTTTTGTCTTCAGCAAGTGAAATGCATGCTCAATCAGATTCAGGTCAGGTGATTGACTTGGCCATTGCATAACATTCCACTTCTTTCCCTTAAAAAACTCTTTGGTTGCTTTTGCAGTATGCTTTGGGTCATTGTCCATCTGCACTGTGAAGCGGCGTCCAATGAGTTGTGAAGCATTTGGCTGAATATGAGCAGATAATATTGCCCGAAACACTTCAGAATTCATCCTGCTGCTTTTGTTAGCAGTCACATCATCAATAAATACAAGAGAACCAGTTCCATTGGCAGCCATACATGCCCACGCCATGACACTACCACCACCATGCTTCACTGATGAGGTGGTATGCTTAGGATCATGAGCAGTTCCTTTCCTTCTCCATACTCTTCTCTTCCCATCACTCTGGTCCAAGTTGATCTTGGTCTCATCTGTCCATAGGATGTTGTTCCAGAACTGTGAAGGCTTTTTTAGATGTCGTTTGGCAAACTCTAATCTGGCCTTCCTGTTTTTGAGGCTCACCAATGGTTTACATCTTGTGGTGAACCCTCTGTATTCACTCTGATGAAGTCTTCTCTTGATTGTTGACTTTGACACACATACACCTACCTCCTGGAGAGTGTTCTTGATTTGGCCAACTGTTGTGAAGGGTGTTTTCTTCACCAGGGAAAGAATTCTTTGGTCATCCACCACAGTTGTTTTCCGCGGTCTTCCGGGTCTTTTGGTGTAGCTGAGCTCACCGCCGCGTTCCTTCTTTTTAAGAATGTTCCAAACAGTTGTTTTGGCCACGCCTAATGTTTTTGCTATCTCTCTGATGGGTTTGTTTTGTTTTTTCAGCCTAATGATGGCTTGCTTCACTGATAGTGAAAGCTGTTTGGATCTCATCTTGAGAGTTGACAGCAACAGATTCCAAGTGCAAATAGCACACTTGAAATTAACTCTGGACCTTTTATCTGCTCATTGTAATTGGGATGATGAGGGAATAACACACATCTGGCCATTGAACAGCTGAGAAGCCAATTGTCCCATTACTTATGGTCCCTTAACAAGTGGGAGGCACATATGCAAACTGTTGTAATTCCTACACCGTTCACCTGATTTGGATGTAAATACCCTCAAATTAAAGCTGACAGTCTGCAGTTAAAGCACATCTTGTTCATTTCATTTCAAATCCATTGTGGTGGTGTATAGAGCCATAAATGTTAGAATTGTGTCGATGTCCCAATATTTATGGACCTGACTGTATACAGTTCTCTCCCTCCTGTGTGACTACTGTACTCTGCTTGGAGGCAGTGCCTAGATGTACTCTGCTTGGAGGCAGTGCCTAGATGTACTCTGCTTGGAGGCAGTGCCTAGATTCCACTGTACTCATGCGATTCACGTGGCAGATTAGATTATGTGACAGGACCGTAAATCAGACGAAATAAAAAACACAAGAAGCTGTGTCCCAGTTCCCAGAAGTGTACAGCAATTGCCAATCTGGTAAATTGGTCTGGGTGGGAAGCTTATGTGCAGAATATCCTGGCCACTATGAGCTTTTGCCAGCTGCTGTGGTAACCTGGGATTATAATAAAAACCATGTATATGATGTAAATGTGTATTTAAGACCTTAGTTGAGTAACACTGAACTTTAGAAAATCTAGTTCAAACACGCAGTGCACTAACCAATGTGTAGAAGATTAATTTTCAAACTTACACAAGCCATGTAAAATCAGAGCAGGAACTGGGATATGGATGTACAAGGCAATTGTAAGGAGGATCCTTTGAAACAGCAGAGATAGGATTTATGAATACAGAACATAGTTATGTTCTTGTAGTAAATCTTTCTCAACCCTCCTAATTTACACAGCAACAAGATTAATTAATTTTCCCCAGTGTTGAACAATGCTACCCATAGTCTGTGGGGACGGTCAACTGCAAAGTCTCATTTCCAGAGCAGCCATATGTACAGTTCTCTATCCCCCCCTTCCCCCTCATTTATCACAGAAGCTAACTATGCAGTGTACATCCAACTAATGAAAGGTGAGCAATCATAGGATAAAAAAAAAAAAAAAAAAAAAAAAAAAAGGAGGTAGATTCCATTTCTAGAAGCCTTTAAAAACTGGCACATTTCTAACCGCACCACTTAACAGGCAAATCATCTGTCCAGGCATAGCCAGCTTATTTTTACATTAAACATTCAAATAAAAAATTGTTGCCATGTGAGCACAAGGTGCCTTATAAATCTGGGTCCACCATACTGAGAATCTTTGACTTTCCAACTCAGAGCTCAGAGTGGGAAGTTTGGTGGCCAACAGTCATAAGTCATAGCAAAGTAGCGAATTTGATGTAAATTACTTCATAGATGTGGAAGAACTACCTCAAGATTCCTGTAAGAATACACATGGCTCTTGTATTTAGACCACATATGCTTATTCTAGAGTTCAGCTTTAAAGCCCAATTCTAATTTTTGTTTTTAAAAAGGTATTCCAGCAATTATAACACACAGGTGGATGGATGAAACTGTGCTTTACTAAAGATAACTACCTAGTAGGGACTAGTAACTCTGTTAGAGTATGGCACACAGTAAAAATTAGCAACATTCTATTTTGAATGCTCCCATTTTTAGCTAGAGATGTTATGAAACAAGGGACACCCCTCATTATCATCCACTTCCTGAAAAATAAAGAAACTCTGTCGGAACAGAATAGAAGTTCCTTTAGAGGGAAGCTGCTGATAAATCACTTTTTAAGGTAGAAAAATTCAGACACTTTTTTAAAATTTCCCACAATGTGGCTTCCTTGCTAATGTCATGGAAAATACAGAGCCAGGAATAGCAAAAGGGAGCTGCCACTATGAAGTGCCTGAGGTCTGAACATATTTTCAGGGACTGGTCTAGCAATTGGGTAGCATCTCCAATGCTATTCATAAAGAATAATATGATTTTAAAGTGACTTTGTTACCTTAACCACTTGTTAACCAGTATTGTAGCATGTGATTTTAAACGATGTAGCAGCCAAGATTGTGTTTAACCTACCGGGCACTTATACCCCCTTTCCTTACCAGGCCAATTTTCAGATTTTAGCGCGGTCACATTTTGAATGACAATTGCGTGGTCATGCAACATTATACCCATATGACATTTTTATCATATTTTTCTCACAAAAAGAGCTTTCTTTTGGTGGTATTTATTTGTCGCTGGGTGTTTTACTTTTTGCACTATAAACAAAAAAAAAGAGCAAAAAATTTGAAAAAAAAAAAAAGTTTCTTTGTTTCTATTATAAAATTTTGCAAACAGTTAATTTTTCTCCTTCACGGATATGCATTAATGAGGCAGCACTGATAGGTGGCACTGATTGGCAGAACTAATGAGGTGGCACAGATAGGCGGCACCGATGATGGGTACTGACTGGCAGCACTGCTGGGCACTGACTGGCAACACTGACTGGTGGAACTGATGGGCACAGACTGGTGGCACTGACTGGCAGCACTGCTGGGCACTGACTGGCAGCACTGCTGGGCAGCACTGGTGGATGGCACTACTGGGCACCGATCATCAGGGCACTGATCATCAGTGCCCCGATGATTGGTGCCGATCCCTGCTCTGACAACTGCCGATTCTCGGAAGTACTTTCCTCACGCTCTGACAGCGTGAGGAAAGTGCAGCCGAGAATCGGCAATTGCATTTCCCGGTGATCAGCATATCATTGGACACGGCTGATCACGTGGTAAAAGGCCGCTGTGATTGACCTTTTACCACATCACGTGATCAGCTGTGTCCATAGGACCCTGGGGGCATGCAGGAGAGCACGTTCTGGGAGGACGTCATATGACGGCCTCCCAGAACTGTCCAGCCACACTGCAGCCGTCATTTGGCTATCTGCGGTCGGCAACTGGTTAAATTTGTTCAGACAGCGAAACAGGTTTTTTTTGGGGCGGAAGTAACTTGAGTGGCTGTAAAGCCAATGATCACTTCCACACCCGCTAAGGGGTATGGTGGGTGTCAGCTGGTGGAATGGAGGGAGATCAGGAAACATTAATTTGCTGATCTTCCTTCCAGTGAATGAACACAGAAGAAATGTTTATTACATCACTTCTAGGTTCGGCTGTGGCCGGGAAAGAGACTAATGGAGCACAATTTGTGCTATATTCGCTGCAGTGGAGGGTAAGGGAAACATCAGGCATCTAACAGACCCCTGATGTCTCATTAAAGAGAACCTATCATTACAGTATTATCATTCAAGGCCAACTCTATATTGAGAATTTTTAAAGAATCGCCTATGGGCAATTATGGTTTCTAAATTACTTAATTTTATTACTGAAGCATGTACAATTTCAGAGCTCGACATGTTGAGTATCTATTTACTTGTCATAAACTCATCTTTTATATTTTAAGAAAAAAAGGGCAATATATTTGTAGCAATTGTGCATACAGAGATGGATGCGGTCATCCATCTTGTTAAGGATCTTCCATCTTGTATCATTTCTACTCCCCAAATCAGTCTCCCTCATCAGATTTCCCCCCTCCCTCAGGAATGTGGTCTGTGTGTGTATGCTGAGTTCAAAAGGCAACAGGCCCCAGCGGAAGAGCTCATGTTTATAAACCCCAATTAGCCTGGCCTCCAGATGTCTGCGAAACTCTGCTTGGAGAAGGATTGTAAAACCATAAACCAAGTCCTTCACTGAGCTCAAAGACATTCCAGGTAGTCGTAAAACGGACATTTAAACATCCCCTTTTCCCCTATGATTACATATCTTGGACTATGAAACACGTACATAAAAAACGGGCATATATTCAGATCGATCTCGGTAATACAAGTCCTCTGATATAGTACATCCCCTAGCTGGCATCAACAGGAGAGCAGCAAATAATATCTCCTTAACCATCCCAGCAGGTATGTCAAATTTCATACCTAGACGTTCAGCAGGGAATTCTGTGTATTAATCTACTAGTGGCAAGGCTGCTAAATGCACCGAGAATAAGTTATGACCCATGACATCAACTGAGGGTTTTTGGTTCTAGCTTGGGTGTCCACTCCAACATCTCTCCCCAAATGAGGCGATTGGTTCTCTGCTTAAAGGAGACACCCTGCTGAGTTCCTAGAAAAAGCTAAGCTAAGTTGAGTTGGAGTTGAAGATTCTCCCTTTTAACATCGGAACTAACTTTGGGAGATAAGGCATCCTTTTGGCTCTGAAACCTGATCTGCCTAAACCAAGGCTGACGGCAAGTACTTTATCCCTCTAAACTTCTTTCTGTTATCTCTTTGCTGTGCTATTTGTATATATATATATATATATATATATATATATATATATATATATATATATATATTTGGCTACATCTTTTTCTGTAAATATTTTTATTGCACCCTTTTGACTTTTCAGTAATAAATCTTACTTTCTGAAAATGTTGAACTGTTTCTAAGGCTCTTTAAAGCAAACTAAGAACCCCTTGCTCTGAAGAGCGATACTGTGTGTGTTTTAAACTTCGGTATATCTCTGCCTGCGGTGACAGTGGTATACCGACGCTTAAGCAAACATCATAGTGTTATTGCTGACATTGCCGAGTTTCCTCTTTCTCTGTACAAAAAGGAGGTGGTGGCAGTGTGAAGGGTTAATTGCGTGATTAACCTGACAGTAACAAATCGCTCCCAGGCTGCAGACACAGATTGTGGTTCATTAGCTGGAAAATATTTGTGCAGGGTGCAGCTGGGCGTGGCATTGTTATGCACGTGACAGTGTGGTTTTAGATTGGCTAGTCCTTCGGTCACGAGTTTGGTGAGAAGGGCTGGGGTCTGATGCAGCGATCGTCACAATATTGTATCCTAAACTGAAGTGTATTTTTTACTGAAAATATGCATTTGATAAACATGTCGCAAATACCATGTGAAATAAAAAAAAAAACTGCAACTACAACCTTTTTATTCTTCAGGGCCATTAAGAATTGCATTAAAAAAAAATATGTCTGGTGGTTTAAAATAAATGGCAGGCCTAAAATGTGCATTTTAACATGTTCGTAATCTGAAAAAAAATGGCTCCGGTAGACAAAAAAAAAGAAAAAAAGATGCGGACAAGTATGACATCCAGCAACGTTAATGTCTTCCTCTAAGAACAAAAGATTGTCTGTTTTAGATGTAAGTTTTTCCCCATCCTCCTGCCCCTCACACACATTACTTATAAGCCCAACACTGTAATTGGGGGGGGGGCACCAATGGCCAATTAGAGGACATTTGGAACATATATAGTAAGTTTCCTGAGGAGCCTTAGAGATGAAACAAGCAAGGTGGATAGTGGAACATCCCCCTCCTCCTTTCCCTGCCAGAATATTGTATTCTTACAGTGGGACTTGTGATCAAATATGCAAATTATGTCGAGCAGGAGACACACACACACACAAATAAAAATTGGCCAGACTCTGCTGAACCAGACGCACAGCCAGCTTTATACATATCATATAAGATTATGGCAGGGCTGAACATATGTAGTAAACACTATGGTTTCTGGGTTTTCTGATTTCTTACAATGGTATCTTTCCTACCATTGTGCCTACTTCTCATGGTGCTGGATATGTTAGACCTCTTATCATTTTAGGGGTCCAACTAGAAGGCGAACAGTGTGTACATCTGTTTCAAGAGGTAGATTTGGGACAGCACAATTTTTCACAAGGAGTTTGTATGTTAACAAGATGTTTTGCTGCCTCGTATGATCACTTTTTTTGCACTTCATTAACTTTGAATTCTGTTTGATTGCAAGTTTCAGCACACATGGGATGAGAGAGCTGATGATTTGGACTCTTATTAATGGATATTTACGGTTTTATTTTTTTACACAAGTGCTGGAGAATTATTTGTTTTTTTTCTGAAAAGCACTGCACCAGTTTATATTTAGGCAAGTTTGTTGTGGGTGCAAACACTTATGTGTATGTGATCAATGTAAACAGCCTGTTTTCACTAAATATTACTTGTATTTACAGGAGTCTAGGGTTGTACTCAGTTTTAATTATTTTTGTACCACCAATGACGCTGTCGCCTGTTTTCCTTTCTTGGACCAGTTTTCGTAGGTCCTGAGACTGGGAACATCCCACAAGAACTGCAGTTTTGGAGTATATATATATATATATATATATATATATATATATATATATATATGGCAGCACACTACAATACATAAAAGTGCAACCTGTTCCAGTGCACACCAATGCAGGCTCCTGGTGTCTAGTTTAGGATGAAATTTGTCCAGGTCTGGATTATGAAATTTGCACTGTAACCAGATGTCTTTCATATATATAAAAAAAAAAAAAAACAATTCTGTTCTAAGCAATGCGAGAGTCCCCTTTTAGAAGCTTTTAACAAAAATACACTTCTGGATAGGAAATGTGTGTTATGTATGAAATGCTATAGTTACTTTTGTTTGCATTTGAAGCAGTGGAAATCTATGGAAGTGTGATTAACAAAGTCAAATTCTTCAAAGTGAAAGGAATTTCATAAAACAGTGATTAAAGGGCACTTTATTATAGGATGCCTCCCAAATGAACATTTTTTTTTAATCTTTGCATAGAAGTGTTAAAACCCTTCTCAGGTTTTCATTGCTGTTCCCTTTGGGGAAATTCACTAAATTTGTTATGGTGACCACTACTCTCAGAAAGGAAAATCCCAAAATTTTAAATATGTCATGAGGTGAGGGGAAATTATGCAAATTGGGACACCTCTTCCGGTATCCATTTGACTTTCTGTTGCATCTCTAGTACAGGAAGTGAAGGAATGAAAGATGGAACAAAGACAGCAAAAAAAAAAATGAAAAGGGTCTTACTCTATCCAAAGCTACAAACAAAATGTTTTGTCTTAACATATACTTTAACCCCTTCACGCCTAAGGGTAAAACAAATCTAAATGCCTAAGCACAATTCTGCAACGTTGATGTGTTAGTAAAACCGTACATATCGTCACAACTACTTTGTACATCCAGGTGGATTATACCTTGTTTTTTTCAGGACAAATTGGGCTTTCATTTGGTGGTAAATGGTAATGGATAGCTCCTAATTTTTTTTTTTTATTATTAAAGGAAAACTGGGCCAAAATAGTAAAAAAAAATAATTTTTTTTAATTTAACTGTGTGTTTCTTGTTACGACCATAACCTACCACCAAAGAACAACCCAAAATACATTCTCCAGTTCTTGACGATCGCAGCGATACCATATATGTGTATGTTATTTGTTGTTTGTACCCGTAGTACAGTCCAGAAACAACAGTGCGCATTTTGTTTTTGTCTTTTTTTTTCTTTTTTTTTTACATAAAACACACTGTCACTGACATTGACATTAACACTAACTGACACCAATTTTTTTTTTTAAATCCTGACCTTTGACCCTGACCTTTGCCCTTGACCTTTGACCCTGACCCAAACACTAACCCTGGTACTGAACTAGATCAAACCTTGATCTAGGTATTTTTCTTTATTTTTTATTTTATTTTTTAATATTTATTTATCTTTTTTTTTTACAAACTTTTTTTTTGTCTCTCTATGTCCGGAGTTCAAGAGATACAATGTATCTCTCTTCTCCATTCATAGAGAGAGAAAACAAGGGGAACGGGCTGCACAGTGATTGATCACTGTGATAGCCAATCAGAGGCTATCACAGAGATCACGTGACCCGGAATCGGGAGTCCCGGGTACCGCTCGTTAGAACGGGACCCGGGGCTC